ATATATAAAACATTGTTCTCTATTATGAAATGAAAGGAAAACCTGCTGCATGATGCACATTACATACTTCTATGGCATGCTGCTGGGACCAGATATGGTAGCATCCCGGTCATTATTGTGCTAAGGTGTTGCATGTGTTTTCAGTCAGGCTATGTGATTAATTCATGATCCTTGTAGTTTCTGTTGTTCATTGTCTTTCAATCAGTAATAGTATACGTGGTCGATCATGCAATTGATCATCCTTCTTTTGCATTGTGATCTGTTTCAGGTATACTGAATTGAAAATTATTGTCCCAGAGAGTGGTGTTGTAGGATTACATGCAGATAACATGAACATTGATAAAATATATGTAGATGGAGAACCAGCTGATTATGAATTCTTTCCTCATTATCAACATGTTGAAGATGAACGGAGATGGCATTCTATAAATTGCCCCTCTTCTGCTAGTGATGCTGCATGCTACACCTACATATCATCTTTGGACAAAGAAATGGCTTCCAATCTACTAATCCTGTGTAATAAGTCAATAAAATCATCTTGTGAAGGACACACAAATGGGAATATGGGGAATTCCGTTCAAAATCCATCAGCTGAATTCCCCCAAGTTCTTCCCACCTGTAATGGTCACACAGTAAATGAGGTGATGATGCTCAATTGGACTATTTATTTTGAAGTTTAATGAGTTTCTTTTTTGATAAATAAGTTAAGTATTTGTTTTTTGTAAAAGTTAAATATTTGGTGTTCAATGTTATAGAGTTTACTGTTGTGAAGAGGTTCACTTTTTCTGTGATTTCTCATGTAGGTTGATGTTGGATGCAGAATGTGAAATTGGTCCGTATTGAATATTGGGTTGACAAAGCCGAAACAGGCATTCATTTTAAGGACAATGTACTTCATACTGACAACCAAATCAGGCGAGCCCATTGCTGGTTTCCTTGCATAGACAATAATTTGCAACGTTGTTGGTAAGGATGATCTTGTATTCTTTTTAATCTTTTTACCTGTCCAACTATGCATAGTTGAGCAAGCATTGTTGGGAGTCCTACTCATATCTTGTCATAATCAATTTTCTTGTTCTAGCTATGATCTGGAGTTTACTGTAGATTCCAAGCTGGTTGCTGTCAGTAATGGAATTCTACTTTACCAGGTGAGTTGTTCATTGCTCTCCTTGGAAATATGGCTGAAACGTTGCTTGCATACACACTGGTTGGGTCATGGACTTGTGTGAGTATTTCCATTAGTATCTGCAAATTAAATTTTATTATTGATTTGTCAGAGAGCGTGATCGTTTGGGACATCATTTTTCCGTGCTTTCAAATTCAAACCCATGTTAAGGGGCCATATTGAAGCCGAGATTGGTGCAAGTCGCTTAATTTCAGGAACAGACAAAAAAAAAAAAAGATGAAGAAAAAAGAGAAGAGATAGGTCCAAGTTTATGTAAGAAATTAGCCTATTGAAAATCAAAGGGTTGGGAGGGTGTATTTGGTTATTTCAGCCATGCACAACACTCTGCAACATTTGTACAATGGATTGAATGTGCAGACCTTGCACAGTGTTCAACAGAAAGGCATTTTCTAACAGTTAATGTGCTGTTGCGAATCATGACTGGTAGAGATCGCTGTATAAATTTTGAAGATCAAGAATTGGAAGAATCTGGAGAAAGTGCATTGTGGGCATAAAATGCAGTGTATGTAATATCTAGGATGTACCAATTAGAGAAGGCCGCCCACCCTTGTTACTAAAATGATTTTTCTATATGGGGATTAGAAAACATCTGCATTTAAGCTGTTTGTATGCCTCATGGTGGATATCTTGTGTAGTGTGCAAACAGTGTAATACATATATTACGGTGTGCCTTCTACAAAAAACATAAAGTACCGCATTTTATAGGTATGAAACTATGAATGCTTATTATTATGGGGCTTGCTAGAATCACATCTGCATAATGACCGTTATTGACCCGTGTTCCAAAAATTGTTGATCCGACTCGGGAACTGCCTGGTTGGACTGGAACCAGTCAGTAATCAGGAGTCCCTTCTAGCATCGGATTCGGCCGGTTCACTGTTCATTTTGTAATCTGCAGCCTTTTCGTTCCTTTTCTGGTCCATTGATGATCATTTTTATTGGTTTTTTGGCTATATTAACTCCATTTTGGATTGAAGTTTTCACAGATCGATTCGGATCAGAACACATTAGCGCGAGATTTTTCAATCAAAATCATGCCCATTTTCATCCCTAATCACTGATCCGCCTATGATTTGACTTCTCTCACGATTCTTGATGAATTTTCTTCAGCATTGTTCCAAAATGACCGTTTTTGAGTCCTCAATAAGATCCACACATTAATTTGTTGGATCAGCCAGCTTCTCGAAGTGATGTAGCCTAAAGGATTTTTGGCTCTTCTTGGGCATAGGTGAGTAGATTTATTGATTTCTGAATTATGAGGTTCGAATCTAATCTATGACATGTATTATAATTTCCAGACAATATTTTTTATTTATTTCAATTGCTTTGCTCATTTTTTAGTTTTTAAATAATGCTTAGATTTTCAAAAAAGTAGTGGTTTTGTTAGTATTATGTTAAAAATTTGTTAAAGTTTTTTGTTCTAGGGTTTGTTGGAAACGATTTAGAGCATTTATTTCTTGACTTTTTCTTTGATTTCTCTAAAGATTTCGTTCTTTTTGATTGGTTTTTGTTTTTTGAGCAAAGTCTATTTTTGAAAAATCTGCTTTTTTTGTGAATATTTTGTTAGATTTTCTGGATATTTTGCTAAGATTTTGTTTAGAGTGTGTTAGGAATGATATAGAGCATGTATTTGTTACTTTTCTCTCCAATTTCTAATAATTTGTATTTTTCTCAGTTCTTTTTGTTTTTTGAAAAATCTCTGGTTCTTGAATAAGTTTGTATTTTTTTGCCAAATTTGTGTTATATTTTTTGAATTTTCATGTATGTTTTTTGTTAATCAACACTTAAACATTCTTTATATTTTGTAGTTTATAAACTTCTCTTTATTATTTGTTTGTATTGTGTATTTTTAATTGTTTTTATCATAAATATTGTGCATTGTCCATAACTCCACAATATTTACAAAAAATACACGATTGCCAAAAATTCACAAAACTGAGTTTGCCCGTGTTAAGGATTTGGACTTCTTCATGTTTATTATTGATATTTATCGATCCTATGAATATTACTTTTTAGATTTACTATATTTTAGATTGTGAAATGATTGTGTGGCACTCAAACAAGGGCCAAACTCTCAATACTTACATCAAATTAAGTAGTGTAGTTATTAACTTTTTTCACAAACCCCATTATTTCATTCCAAAATTTTTGGAATATTTTTTGAATATTTTTTAAAGGCTTGGTATTGTCAAACCGGTTGGAATCCGCCTAGGTCATCAAGGCGACTTGAAATCAGTTGGTGATAAGTTCAGCTGCCCGAGCGTACTTTTTAAACCTTGCTATTGACTATGCACTTCTATCCTTTGATTTAAATAATAATATGCATGTTACATGGAGTATGCGTTGTGATTGTAGTAGCTAATTTCCACCCACCTTACGAAATGAGAGTTTGTATCAATGTGGATTTGAATAGTGGTAGCCATACTTGCACTGCATGCTGGCTCTTTGATTGGTACCTTGCGAAAGAACTTCTGTCAGTAGCAGTTACTAATAATTTTGTGGCATAACTGATAAATGTTGGTTAAGGGTTATGTTCTTGTATAATTCTATTTACATGTTTGAATAGTTCCCAATTCAACTTCACAAATCTCTAATGTAAACCATATTTATTTACACCTGTGTTTAAAAACTCACCCGTCGACATCGACTCCGGCTCGGAAGGCTGCTGAGCCCGGAATAGGGTACATATATATGCCATGTAGAGTACTCGAGCGAGTATTGTACAGACTCTCCGGCACACTGTACAAAGTCGGGATGACTCGCTTGAGTTTGTATAGTACTTGGGTGAGGCGCTAGAGTACTTGCCTGATGCAAGTTTGATGATGAGCAGAGCATATTGGCTAACCATGAGTATCTTGTTTAGGAGCGACATATTCATTCTAATTCTCGGTCATATTTGGGGGATAAAAACCCTAGGAGGCCTTTCAAGGAGAACAAGAAGAATAAGAAGAGCAAGAAATTGTTTGAATAGTTTTTTTTTAGTTGTTTTTGGCCTACTTCATACATATAGTTTATTTATTTCTTTTGCTGGATCGGTTGGGGACTTTTAGACACATTTTAATTAAAGTTAGGGTGTTTAAGTTTAAGTTATACTAAAGTTAGGACATTTTTGGTCAAAAGTTTAATTGACAAATATTGTCCAAAACTTTAAATGGGCATTATTGAAGTGGGGTGTGGGTGGCTGGAGGAGGGACGAAGCTTTTTGTTTTTTTTAGAAAGAAAATTTCCATTGAAGAAGAAAGAAAAATTTCTATTGAAGGCTCAGGAAGATGGGGAGAAGACCATAGGGTTGGCTGAGGTTTATAGTTGATTTTACTATTCTTTCAATTTCTCTACATCAAAGTTGTATGGATTTTATATTCGTGGTGTTGAATAGATTCTCTAAGAGGGCTCATTGCAAGAAGACTTTGGGTGCTACACATGTTGCCAACTTGTACTTCAAAGGTCATGAGTTTGCATGGTGTTCCAATGACAATAACTTCAAATCAGAGTATGAAGTTTCTCAGCCATTTTTTGAGAACTTTGTAGAAGACATTGGGCACTTGGTTACAATTTAGTAGTGCTTATCATTCTCAAATAGATGGCCAGACTGAAGTGGTAAATTGTACTCTTGGTAATCTTCTTAGAAGTACTGCGAGGGAAAAGAAAAAACAATAGGACCTAATATTGCCTCAAGCTAAGTTTGCCTATAATAGTGTTGGTGACAGATCCATTGGTAAGAGTTTGTTCAAGGTGTTATATGGGAAAAGCCTTGCTCATTCGCTTGCCATGGTTCCTATCCAAGCCAATGGGGAGGTTCATGCTACTGTTGAGGACTTGGTTGAACAGATGAAAGGAGTGCATGAGCAAGTGCGTGCTAGTCTCGAAGCGAATATAGCCAAATACAAGCAAGCATTGAATAAGCATCGCTGTTTCAAGGAGTTTAATGTGTGAGACTAGTTAATGATGTATCTTAGGAAAGAACGACATCCAATGGGAAAGTACAACAAGTTGAATGATCCCAAGGCAAGACCGTTCAAGATTTTGAAGAAGATGGGCGGCAATTCTTACAAGGTCGCCTTGCCTTCACATATGGGGACTTCAGACATATTCAATATTACTGATTTGTCTGAGTATCGTGGTCTGGAGGTGTATGAAGATGAAGAAGCGAACTAGAGGGCGAGTTCTTCTCAACCTGGGGAGACTGATGATGCGCAGAGCACATTGAGTAGCCATTAGTATCTTCTTTGAGTGTGACATATTCCTCCTAATTCTCGTTCATATTTGGAGGATGAAAACCCTAGGAGGGCTTCTAAGAAGAACAAGACAAACAACAAGTGCAAGAAACAATTTGATTTTTTTTTTTAGTTATTTTGGGTCATACATATTTTTATCTATTTCATTGCTGGACCAGTTGTGGATTTTTTAGATAGCTTAATTGAAGTTAGGGTATTCAAAGTTATAGTTAAGTTAGGGCTTTCTTGGTCAAAAGTTTAATTGTATGGACAAATATTGTCGAAAACATTAAATAGACATTATTAAAGTGGGGTGTGGAGATCATGCCCTTTTTTTAGGAAACAAAAAAAAGGGACTTCTATTGAAGAAGAAAGAAAGAAGCCTAAGTTTTAAGATGTGGGGAGCAAACCTTAGGGTTTCCTCAAAATTGCATGTGTTTGGCTGAGGTTTATTGCTGATTTATTGTTCTTTCAATCTTCCTACATCAAAGTCTCAGTTTAAGAAGGGAGCCTTTTTTGGGGGGTGATTGGAAATCTGCCCCCCTCTTTTTCTTTGTTTTCTTCACTTTGAGCCCTAGGATTAGCGATTTGAGTTGAAATTGACTCATTGGTATGGTATTAGCCTATCTATTTATTGGAAACATTGGATTTTAGAAAAATAAAAAAATGAAATTTAATAGATTTCTAAGATAAAAAAATTAGTTTAGTTTTTGTCTGATTTTGAAAATTTTGTCTGATTTTGAAAATTTGCAATTTCGTCAACTCGATGAAATTTGATTCCTGAACAAATTTTATGGTCTTGATTCCAACCATTGACCTGATTTTCACAAAAGAAAACAAATTAGGATTTGAGAGGTTTGAATTCGGAATTACTATTCATATTTTTTCAAGAACAACGATCTCCTAGATCCAAACTCGAAACCCAAAACTTGCTTGGGGGTTTCGATTGGGGTTGTGTGAGGAAGCTTTGACGAGGATTGTTCACACCAAGTGTGAAGATGTGGGATTGGCCTTGAAATTTTGTGTATTTTTTATTTTTCAAAATAACTTTATGAAATTGATTTATTTTTATTTATAATTCATTTTTGTATATATTTTTATGGTTTTTATGATTTACTCTTTTTTATTTTTTATTTTTTATGTTTTTGGATTTTCTGAATTTGTTTGAAGCGAATTACATCAATTTTTTTTTCTTATCCCATGTTTTATGTACATTTTCTGATTTAGTATTGTTTTTGGATTTTTATTTTTCCATTTTTACAAATGTTTTCCTTTTCTTTTTGCATATTTCAATCCCTTTTTCTAGGCTTGGGTAGGACTCAGAGAGTCAATTTGAACTCCCTTGAGTTACCCCGCTTGATAAAGGACTAAGTCCAGAGCCCGAGCCATGGAATCCAATATTGTTCACAACTATACCAATTGCTTGAGTCTTGTTTATTCTCTATGCCAAGGCAGCGTGCTATCTAGATAATCTTCATCATCATCGTCAAAGCTTTTTTCCAACTAATTGGGGTTGGCTGTACGAGTACTAGTCCGCCATTCTGCTCCATTAAGGGCAATACCTCAGTGGGGCCATAAATTCCCATATCATTTCGGTATTTCCAACCATGTCCTTTCTGTACCCTTGCCCTTTTTGAGCCTTCCACTTGAACTACCTAACGAGTGCTGTACTGGGTCTGCACCACACATGGCCAGCCCACCGAAGTCTACTTTCTCTCTTCTTATCATCTATTGGTGCCACACCTAAATTTTCCCGAATGTATTCATTTCAAATTCTATTCCTTCTTATCTTGCCACTCAGCCATCTCAACATCCTCATTTCAGCTACATTCATTTTATGGGTATGTTGTTTCTTTACCGCCCAACATTCCGCCCCATAAAGTAAAGCTGGTCTCATATCTAGATAATCTTGTTCTTGGGAAAAAAGAATCTAATTCTTGTGCTTTGATCTCATAGAAACTTTTAGGCCAAGTTGCCCTGATATGGATATGGATATGGATACAGGATGGATAAGAAGCACAGGGATACAACTATGCTTTTTGTCAAAATTTTGGACACAGATATGGAACAAGTATCATATTTGAACTATTAATATTAATGCAACTATGGTTTTTTTTTTTTCTCCCATTGATTGTATAAGGATTTCTAAAATTGTGTACCTGTAGGGGGTATACACAAATATACATCTCATATGTCAAAAATTCTGGTTAATGGTTGTTGCCTATGGTAGGGCAAACCATTGAACCTCTCTAAAGATCAGTGATGGGTAGGTGTTTTATCAATCAGTTGGCTTCCTAGTTCCTACTCTGTTGTACTCTCATTTTTTGTTCTTAATCTGCAGTTAGAGTTTTCTCCTTTGTAACCAGTTTGCTTGGTCTTGACCCATGTGGGAACCTAAAGAATGTTTTATAATTGTAGTTGCATTCGGAAGAGCCTGTGTAAATGTTTTTCTTTTTGAATCTGTTAACTGTAGTGCCTGGGTAATGTTTCGAAGTTTCAATTATTTAATCATTCCATGATGGGTTTTCCTGTGCAGGTCTTGAGCAAAGATGATCCTCCTCGCAAAACATATGTTTATAAATTAAATGTTCCAGTTGCCGCAGAGTGCATATCTTTAGCAGTTGCACCATTTGAAATTTTTCCAGATCGCCATAATGGTGCCATATCTCACATGTGTTTGCCAGCATATCTTTCAAAGCTTCGAAACACAGTTGGGTTTTTCTATAGTGCGTTCAGGTTTGCTTGCTCAATATACTTCAACTAATTGTTTAGTTCGAATACTGGAGTGCTTGTTCTCTAAGAAGTATCCAAGCTGGTTCAATGCTATATTTACCTCTGATCTTTAATTTAATGTTGTTTTATATGACCGTAATGCTTGCCACAGCCATTATGAGGATTACCTTTCTGCATCCTTTCCATTTGGTTCCTACAAGCAAGTTTTTATCACTGCTGAGATGGCAATATCTTCATTGAACTTGGGGGCATCGATGTCTATGTTTAGTTCTCAAGTTCTATTTGATGAGAAGGTTATTGATCAGGTACTCTTTCTACCCTTAGATGTCTCCCTGTTGTAAGATATCAACATGTTCTTACCCTTCTATTTGATATAATTCAACAACGAAAGAAACTGCTGCTCAGACGCAGAACTCAGGTCCTTGACAGTCTGAATTAGTTGCACGAGTTCGAGTTGACTTGCTCGAGTCTGCGTCGAGCCTTCCAAAGATCCATTTTTTAGAATGCAGAACATCCTCAAAATGGTAAAAATAGGAAAAAAAATAAAATGTATATAAAATATGAGAAAAACGTTTTCCAAAACTAGAAATCTGGTTAAGAGATCATTGTCAAGGAAAATTCTCAGAAAAATGAGAAAAATTAGAAACCTCACTAAAACTAATAAAATATAAAAAGTGTATACAAAATCAATTACAAATCAATTATACTTGATTTTGTCAAAGATGGAATAGTTTATAAATTGATTATAATTCTTCGTCATCATCATCTGAGCCTTATATAAATATATTTTATATACCCTGATTTTGAGGGTGTTCTGAACTCAGTGACCTGCCGAGTCCAGGTGACTCAACGAGTGGGAGTCGACTTTCCTGATTTTCTTACACTGATTCAAAGATATTGTGGATTGTGGATAATGCTAAAGAAGAATCATAATTCTAAAAATCCAACACAAAACTTTCAAAGCCTGGTAGTCTTTCTTCTATCCACCTAACAAAAATAATCCATGATTCTCAATCATGGTGCATAATCTTGTACTTCGTAGAGCTGTAGCTTGTTAAAAATTTCTTTTACACTTGCCATTATAATGTTTGTTTATCGTGGCCTGTCTATTGGTACTGTGGTTAAGTTGTTTGCTGGAACTTATTTTGTTCGAATATGATTAATAATCTATTGATCTGATGACCTATTACCTGTTTTGCACTTCTGTATTATGTGGAGATTCCATTTCTGGGTGGTAGATGAAAACTTCATTTGCATACACAATTTTGTTCTCTTAAAAGATTCTGTCTTAAACTCTCTATTGATCGTGAAAAAGAAATAGCAGTCAAAATATCTTGCACAACTGTGATGAACATATTATCTAGCACAACTGAAATGTACCACACACTATACAATAATATAATCTCTTGTGTACAAAATTATTCAGACATCATCCTATGTTAGATAAACCTGCTGACTGGGCTGGGAGTATATTGCAAATATATTGCATTTTACATAGTTATGCTGTTCTTTTAAATTTATGGATTATGTGCCCATTCTCAAATAATCATAAGATTATGGGAATCTTTTAATTCTCTAAGTTTTACCACTGCACTTAAATTCATGTAATATATTTTTAAGCTTTTGTAGACGTAGGCTAGCTGTGAAAATGCTATTATTTTAAAAGCTTTCTTACTGGTTGGGTTTGAATTTTCATGTATTTAGAAGTTAATAGAGGTTAACAGCCTTAATGTTACTCCTTTTAAAACTATCCTGACAGTGAACTTCATGTTTCCATTGCATATACTGTAGGTCTTGTGATGAATGTCCTCGTTTTCAAAATTATGCATTCTGTGAGAGAATAAAATGGTTGCTTTTAATTGTCTAATACATTGATTTGTGCAATATCTTGGATGATTGAAAAATCTAAATAAACAATGACTTGTTTTTTAACAGACTTTTGGTACTAGGATTAAGCTTGCATATGCCCTTGCAAGACAATGGTTTGGAATGTTCATTACTGCCGAGAGACCAAATGATGGTAATGATGCCATTGTGAAGTTTTATATCTGTTTCCTACTTGTGGAACGTAGCAGGTGTATAAAAAAGAAATGCCTTAAATTCATTCATTGACCTGGCTCTTTTTTTTTGGTGGCAGGATGGCTTTTAGAGGGCCTTGCAGGTTTTCTTACAGATACCTTCATCAAGCGTTCCCTGGGGAATAATGAGGCACGGTACCGTCGATATAAGGTTGATCTTTCTTGCAAATGCAGAAACTTAATCTGCAGGGACCTGTTTGGTTTAAGAAATTTTTGTATTTGGTGATTGCTATATGAATGGATTCTTTAGATGATTGTTCTACTTTGAGTGATTGTAGTGAAATGTTGATATTTCTGTTATGCACTAGTCAGGATGTTACCTTTTAAATTGTGATAAGCCTCAATCAAGTTACTTTCTGAAAAATTTTTTATGCCTTTTATGTGCGATTTACCTAAACTGGGGGGAATGGAAGTAGTAGTTTTGGTATGAGTGACTTACAGGCCTCATTTGACCAAATGACAAGGTTGTCCTTTTTATGTGCATCAGATCACTGAAGAAAAGTGTTTGGTCAAATGTCAATTTCAAAGTGGATTGCAAGGGAGCAACCACAGAGGTTTCCCCTGGGTACCTAGATAACAAGCAAATGGTTGAGAGTTGCATTCACAAGTAAACAGCAAATGCAAAGATTAGAAAAATTCTTAATGTACCAATGAATATATGATGTAGGGAAATTTGAGGAAGCAATAAAATTGACAAAACACAAAGCCAAACACAAGCACAATTCAATGAAACCTAAGGTTTCTTCTCCATATCCCAAGCTAGGGTTCCAAAAGTCTAAGCTTTTCCCTCGTTCAATTTCTAAAATCATGTAGAATTGCCCCTTCAAGGCCCCACACACCTCTTATATATTGTAATTCAATGTTTAAAAAGACACTACATATCCATACCATGATTAAAATGAGCTATATATCCTAACTTAAATTTAAATTTTGTAATAACAATTTTACCCTTGTAAACAGTACCGAACCATACTTGTGAATAATACTCATGAAATAAATAATAATACTATAAAAACCCTAGAATTCCTAAAAAACTAAAAATTCTAAAAATAAATTGTAAAACTAAAACTATAATATACATCGTTTGAAATTGAATATAAATTTAAAACAAGTATAATTTTGCCCTCCATCATCCTTCCATGGAGAAAACTCATTCTTGAGTTTTGAAGTGTGCTAAGATGAATTCAGCATCAAAACTACCTTCTTCAACCTTCTTCTTTGTTGGCTCAAAGATTATTTATGGTAAAAATAATTCCTCAAGAAATGGATCTTGATATATAGGAATCGATGCAAATTCATCAAATTCAGCTATGCTTGAGCTCCCACTGAAAATTATGTAGGAAACTTCAAACTCAATTTTCTGGTCTTTAGAGGCTTTTCCTCATCTAATTCATTACTCTCTGAAACCAGGGCCACAATTCGCGTTTTATCAGTTGACCACACTTCCACTGCGCTACTCTGATTCTAATGCCTTATATCTCCTAAATGTTCCACCTCTTTGATATCCTTAAGATCTTCATCTTTTTCTTCGTCAAAGATTGGATCACCCAGGTAATAATCTTGATAATTTTCATCATCATAGATTGGATCTCTTACAAGATCTTTCATTGGTCATCACTCAAATTCAGGAGTATTTTTTTTTAAGATGACTTATTTTCAAGTAAGTGCGTGTTTTTTTATTTAAAAAACTGGAAAATTTTCCTTCGATGGTTTACTTGAAATCGTGATTGATTTAGAATGTTCAGTTGGATCAGAGTCACAAGATTATAGATGCAGCCAGATGATTGTGGACATGGCTACGTTCTTGGGCACTTCCTTGCACAATCTATACACGTACCTTCTTTTTATTATTGCGACAGTAATTAGATTTGTAGGAATTGCTATGTTAATGTTATCAATATCAATGATATTCTTTGATTGATTGAACAATTACTTGTGACTGGTGATTTAAATCATATATATGTAGATTCCGTATGCCTTCATCAATTTATGTTCCTGTCTCCTTGTGTGGGTAAACAATATTAATAGAATTGATTGGCTATTGTTATTTATATTAAAGATATTGGTGGTTCTTTCGATTAAAAGTTTCCATATATAGTTTAAGTTTATCGTTTTCCTCTTGTGAATTACGATTCTGGATATTGCAGACAAACTGTGCTGTTTGCAAGGCAGATATTGATGGGGCAACTGCTTTAAGTTCCTCTGCAGCTTCCAGTGATTTGTATGGGACACAGTCCATTGGTTTACTGGGCAAAGTTCGAGCCTGGAAAGCTGTAGGTTACCTTCATATATATATATATATATATATATATATATTTATATATAGTTTTTGTTTCTATCGTGCTTTGAATCCCAAATATGCTACTATTTTTCTTTGTATCTCATGTGTTCCCATATTTCAACTGATAGGTTGCGGTGCTTCAAATGCTTGAGAAGCAGATGGGCCCTGAATCCTTCCGCAAGGTGGAAATTGCACTTTATAGGACAACTTTTGAATATGGTTTTCATATAGCTATTGTTAAGTGAATTAATTAAAAATGTATTGGGTGTGCATCTGTTGTGTACGATGTTGAATAGTTTCTTCTTTAGTAGCTAAAAATTAAAATTCAACTGATTCTCTTGTTCTTTTGTATTTGAGACTGATCTATATGGCATTGTGCCTTAAATGCATTTAGAGGCTACCTTAGACTGTAACTTCTAAGGATTGTATCTGTGATTGATAACTTGAGATTGGGGTCTGCACCTTTGTGTGTAATTTACTATGGGAGCTTAATTATACATCCATATCATAGTATGTTCTTGTTAGGTGTATGTTCTTCCTGGTATGCTAATGTTTAGACCTCATTAATTTTTGGATGTCTTTTCATTGTCAATTTTCTTTCATATGCATTGAATCTGGCAATGGATAGTTGCATGATTTAGAACTGGGGAATGTCTCTCAGAAGCTCTCCCTATAGATTGGAGGATGGCATGTGGTTGTTAATCATAGGATTTGCCACTCCTGAATAACAAGCATAATTACTGACTCTCAAAGAGTATTTTAAAAAATGCAGACAGACATATATATTTGATTGGGTATTTTTCTTTGTATGATATATTTATATATGTAATGCATGTATTGTTTGGTTTCATACTTAGTGTTGAGTCTAATTGTTTTGTCCTTCATTTGTCAGATTCTGCAAATAATTATCTATCGAGCACAAGATAAAACTCGGTCCTTGAGAGCTCTTAGTACGAAGGAGGTGACTGCATTTGACTTTGTTTTATATCATCCATACATGTCGATATTATTGGACTATTAATGTTTAAATTGATTGTATATGATGTTATTGTGCTCAGTTATGATTTATTGTCTAATCTGGGAAGAATTTGTATATGATTTGATGTGGTTTCTATTTTTTAGTAATAAGTGATAGGTTGGCATATTCTTAAAGAAACAAGGAAGAGGAAAACAAAAAATTACCAAAATCTTGTGATGATTGTAGGAAGCTTGGGGTCCACATGTTATGTGCCAAATGAGTGCTGGAGTTCCACTTTGGGTCATATTTTATGAAAAGAATTAAAGACTAAGAAATGTGACAAAAATATAACGTGCATATAACAATATTTTTTATCAAATATCTATATATTACACTGTCCTTGTTATCTATATAATAGTAATGGCATATGATCCGCTCAAAATTCATGGTCATCGTTTTTACATTTTCCTTAATTTTAACATGGAAGAATATCAAGCTTCTAAATCTTCAGAGAAAACATAGGAAAGTTTCATTTAAAACTCATGAATTAGAAAAAAAATTTGATGAGGCATGTACTTATTACTCTATTAAGAATATTCAATTCATATACAAGTATGTATGCAGATACATAATACAAATAGAAGTTATACACTAGTCTTAACCTTATGAATAAAAATAATAAATGAGAAAGGAACAATATGACAATGATGAACGGAGATATGCACAAAGTTTTGCTATGAGCAAGAACTGTATGCAAAAAAGCACACAAACACACAAGCCCTAAAACTGCAGTTAAGAATGCTAATGATCAAGTATGAAACAGTTTTATGGCGAAATCAATTAGTTAAAGCTCATTTACAAGCAAAACTATAAAGCTAGATTTGGTTTTCTTTGTAAAAGAGGACGAGAAACCCTAGTAAGCTCATGTTTGCTGAATCTCAGCTTCAAACTGACCAGAGCCATGCTAGAGACCAGATATCAACAAGAAGAGTGCGTCTCTGTTACATACATGGAAGACCCACAAGTTTGTGAATCTACATTGGTTTAATTGTCTTGGCTCTAATGCCTAGTTTGGATCAATCAACTTTGCTTCAGTGTTTGGGCAATTCATCCAATTATGAATAGAAAGAGCGAATCACACAGGTAGAAATATCCGCAAGTATAACAGCCATGGTTTATTGGGGTAAATGTATTTGGCACAGCCGCAGCCACCCCACACCACTTGTTCACCTCTCTCCCCCTCGCCCCTCTCCTTCTCTCTTTTTTTTCTCTTCCCTACTCTCCTCCTCCTTCTCTTCTCAAAATCCCTAGAAAAGATGATTGAGGACCCGTTACAGATTCATCGTCTTGACCTCCATTACTATGGATTTGAAGCCTTAAGAAAGACCCATCTTGATTGCTCTCTCCACATTTGATTGGATCCTCCATTTTAAAGGACTCTAGATCCTGTCAGATTTGCCATATTAGGAGCTGGCGAATGGTCTCTTGGCTGCAGCCTATACAGAGGAGGAGTGGGCTGAAGGAGCCTGTTCTTTGTTCCACAAGGAAGTCTGCTCCTCTTCTTTCAAGTGACACACTTCCCCAGGTCTCAACAATTTGCATTCTAACATAGACGCCACTACTCCATCTGCAAGCCTCTCGAATTCTTTAATTGCCACAACCCCTCTTCAAAAAAAAGAAAAAGCCTCCCTAATGTTAAACCCATTAGGTCCATAACACGGTACCAGCTTACAGCATTAGATGGGAGGCCTCTGGTGATGAGGAGGAAAGTAAGGAACAACCAGAGTAGTTTCTGCTGATATCCATTGATTCTGAGGAATGTGAACAAAGCCTGAGCTAAAAAGGATGGTTCATTCAATGAAGATGCAATGAGACGGTCATCTTGACGATATAACAGATGCATTTCTAGCAAATGTCGCAGAGAAAATATGAAAAGAGGGGCCAAAAGGGGCTGCCGCCTGGGCCGCCCCGGGGGGGGGGGAGAAGGAAAAGGAAGTAAAGGAAAATCGAGGGGAGTTAAGGAATTGAAAATTTGCCTCGGATATCAACTGTGGAAAAAGCAAACCAACATATGAAGTGCAACCAGAAGGAAGACATTCATTGTCCCGTAATAGCGTACGAACTATACCTCCACATTAAATCTTCACATGGAAAAGCAGGGGCCTTGAGGACCTAATACAAAGTGTTTATTGCTTTGCCTTATGTACTGGAAGCAACCAAGATACTAGTATTGATAGAAACTGTCGCTGTTCCAGATCTAGCAGTAATGTACTTGATTTGGGGAAGACCTGTAAAGTGCACAGCCTTACCCTTTCTGAGGGTCGCAAGGCCTATCAGGGTAGTATGAAATGCCGTTGTACTTATGAGTTGATCAATCCACATGGCCAAGTGGTCAATATCTTTAGGATTCACTGGCCCTGGAAATAATTTTTGATGGTTACTTACAATGCTTTATTACCTGAAAATGGAGGTAGAAGGAGAAGCTTTTTAAAAGGAATTGGAACATGAATGGGTAAGAAATCTTCCTTTGTTTGTGTGAGGAGATTTTAATGTCTCACCTTGCTGTCATGAGCAAAGCAATGGGGTTAGTAGAACTCTTGAGTATGGCAGCATTTGGTAATTTCTTCAATCAACATAAACTAATTGAATTCCTTGTAATGGTACCAAATTCACTTGGTCCAGCCATAATAATGAGTGGCCAGTAGTCACCCAGATTGATCATTTTCTCGTTTCATCAGAATGGAAACCTTTTTCCTGGAACCAATTCCTTTCTGCTGTGAAATCTCATTTTGGATCTCCGACTTAACACCAGCTTGGCGAATGATTGACCGTGACCCTTCCAATTCGAGTTAATGTAGATCAAAGTTAGAAGATGACATGGATTGCTAAAAGATTGGTGTTTTAAGGTGGATGGTTGGGCTGGTTATTGCATTTGCAGGAAGTTATAGATGCTTAATTTTGAACTTTAAGCATTGTTCAAAAAACGGACCGCCCAGCGCCTAGGTGGTCCAGAAGGCCTAGGCGCATCGCTCAGGCCTAGGCGGTAAAACTGGGCGGTCCGTCCCTGAGCGGCCTCCTAGGTGGTACGGAACTTGCTTAGGGCCTAGCCCTGGGCAGCCGCCCAGGGTTTGCGCCCCGCCAAGAGGCCGAAAAAATGAATTTTTTTTTTTCGTTTTGTTACTTTGAAAGATTTAAAGGTAAGAATGATGGCTTTTAGGTTCATTTGAACCCTAAACCCACAAGAAGCCCCTTTCGACTAAAAAAAACCTAAAAAAAACTACATTTCATTGGATCAATCATCAAATCATCGAAGTGTTTCTCAAAGTTTGGAGTTCAAGCAACCAAAGTAAGTGCATTTTTTAGATTGCTTGCTTTATTTTGAGATGTTTAGGTTCATTTGAACCCTAAACCCACAAGAAGACTAAAAAAAACCTCCAAAATACTACATTTCACTGGATCGATCATCAAATCATCAAAGTGTTTCTCAAGGTTTGGAGTTCAAGCAACCAAAGTAAGTGCATTTTTTAGATCGCTTGCTTTATTTTGAGATGTCTTCTTCAGGAGTTAGTCGGAGTGGAGATCCGGGTTGGAAATATGGATACAACCCGAATCCAAATGACAAAAATTGCATTAGATGCAATTTTTGTGAAAAGATACAAAAGGAGGCATAAACCGGTTTAAGAAATCTTGCTGGTATTAAAAGGGATGTTGCCCCTTGTAAAAATGTTCCTGAAGTTGTCAGAGAGGAGATTAAGCAATTTTAAGGTTATGTAAAACAAAAACAGGAACAAAATCCTTGTCATAGATCTATTTCTTCTACTCCTAGAAAAAGTGATCCGGGTTGGAAGTATGGATATAACCCAAAACCAAATGATAAAAATTATATAAGGTGTAATTTTTGTGAAAAAGATACCAATGGGGTTATTAACCGATTCAGAAAACACCTTGCTGGTGTTAGAGGTAATGTTGCTTTTTGTACAAACGTTTTTGAAGCAGTTCGAGATGATATTAGACATCTTTTGAATTTTGAAGAATCACAAAAGGATAAAAATAGGCCTTGTTCTATGGAAGTATCTTCTCCAGCTTCTAGTCGTCGGCAATGTTTTTAAATGCAGCCGCATCGCTGCATATGCGGCCGCATCATGTGGGATGCGCTCGCATCCGCATCGCGAACTGGTGCATATGCGTTTTTGACAAATGCGGCTGCATATGCGCCGCATCAGGCCGCGTCATGGCCGCATCCCGCATCACACTGCATCGTGCCGCATCTGTTTTGGCGGAAATGTTTTTCGATTTTGCCCCTCGAGGAGGGACAAAATGGTCTTTTTGTAGTTCCAAAGTTTAGGGAAACTGTTTGGGGGGTTATTTGCAGCCACTTTTGTGGCTTTTTTTGCATCAAATCGAAGGAAAACAAAATTTGGCGAAATTTTTTTTTTTTCATCCAAATCTTCGATTTGGCGGTTGTTTGATACTTAGATGTTCATTTGATGCCTTTGATTGTTGATTTTGGGATGTTAAGGTGAATTTGTGATAAGAAATTGGGGATTTCAGAGGCTGTGAAGAAATCGAGCACTACTTCACAGAGTCGGTAACTTTTTATTCCTTCTTGTACAATAATACTATTATACTTATTTTTGGGGCAATGTCTTCTTCCCAATCTTCTAGTAACAAGGATCCGGCTTGGAAATATGCTAAACTAAAAAATCCGAAAGATAGAAATTGTGATATGCTTGCTGCTCTGTGGAAATACTTATATGGGTGGTATTTTTCGACAAAAAGAGCATTTCATTTAGCCGGAATTTTTGGGAATGTAAGAGCATGCCCACAAGCTACAGATGATATAAAAAAGAAGATTAGAGAATATTTGGATAGATTGAAAAAAGATGAAGAGAAAAGAAAACAAAAGAAAGGAATTACTTGATGATATGCAATTATTTGATGAGG